CCCCCCCCCCCGGCAACCCTTGGAAGGAACGATTGGCCATCGGTGATCGGTCCTGTAGGAACATTGCCCCGTCCTCTTCAGGACGCATGGTCAATGGTCTAACCGCTAAGGCATGCAAACCATAAGAGTATGCCCCCTCCCCCCCCTGAACTCGCCTACAGTCAACGGTGCTAGTGATCAATACCGGTGGCACGCTCGGGATGAGGAAGGAAAACAAGTCGGGCGGCCTGGCTCCCGTGCCGGGCTACTTCACCTCGCAGATGCTCACCATGGAGGAGCTGGTGAGCGCGGACGACATGCCGTTTTTCGACATCGTGGAGTACGGTACGTACACGTATCCCCCCTCCGATCAACGTCGCCATATACTCACATTGTTCCGTCTTTCTACTGCGGCATGACACGCGTGGACAACATTTCTAGCTAGCTACTTGCGCTTTATGTTTTTTCGCTGTACGTTTTCGACGCATGAGACGAGCAGATCCTTTGCTGGACAGCTCTTGCTTCCAGCCGTCCGACTGGGCCCGGATCGCCGTAGACATCGGCCGCGCCTACCACTGCTACGACGGTTTTGTGGTTTGCATGGGAACAGACACGATGGCCTACGCGGCAAGCGCATTAAGCTTCATGCTGGAGAACCTCGGGAAGACGGTAAAAACGTGGGAGATGGGGGGGGGGGGGGTGTCGTGATTTTGCAGGCGTTTTCTAACGCCGGGGATGCGCCGGTTGGCTAATTTTCTCGCGTGTGGTAGTTCCGCTTATATGGCAAGTTTTGTTCGACATGTCGAACTCTTCACGTCTTGAGTCAGGAAGAAAGTTCGGTGCTCTTGCCCTATTTTTAGCGCCTCCCGCACGGCTCAGTTCATGTGGTGTGCTGGAGAGAAAGCCCCCTCGTGCAGCCGGGTGGGTGTGATTAATGTTGCCCTCGACACCGGTTTTCTCCCTCCAACGGCTAAGCACGCTTGCTCCTCTCCCTCTTTTTTATTGTCTGGGGAAGCCTATTTGCGTGTCTTGCTTGCTGGCTGTCGTTGCTCGTTTTCCGCCATCATCAATGAAAACGGGGTGACGCGTGTGTGCAACGGGCCGAGCAAACGAGACGCCGAGTGTGGGCTGGGCCGTGTGGTCCGCCTGCCTGCTTCTCTCCCCCGAGAGCACAATTTCCGTTTTGTTTGGCAGCACACTTTTGCGCGTGGATGACATTCTTTCCCCTCGCGGACCGTGTCACCATTTCCCACCGCTGAGGTGTGAATAGTGTCGGGCTGGATTGGGGGAGTATTTCCTTTTCGGTTGGTTGGTGTTCATGTGCAATATGAATGTACGTTCGAGGACCTTCGCCGCTCGACTTCCGTCACGGCGTTTGACGTCGTTCGGCCTACCGTATCACGCCTCCGTTTGTCTGTCTGTCTGTCTGCCTGTCTGTATGTCTGTCTGTCTGTATGTATGTATGAACCCGAATCTCTCTCCGTGTATGTCTGATGTCTCCGTCGACGTCTCGCTTTCGCACGCGATGGGTCTTTCACAAATCGTCGGCGAACTTATCTGGGCGTGGATCAAGGTGGTTTTTACGGGCAGTCAGGTACGGCTGGCTGGGTTTTAGAAGGTGGTTGCGTAAGCGTCGGTACTTTCAGGCAAGAAGGAAGGTAGCTCTAACGAAGACGATAAGTCTGTGGACGGTTGAGCAAACCGAGCATCTCTGTGACCATGTACGGGGTCCCTTGAGTTGGGAGAAGCGTTGACTGAGGGAAGGTATATCCATTTACAACACGGGTGGATGGAACTGTTGGCAATATGTGGGATGACAGAGATCCAGAAAAGTAGCTTCGATCTGCTCATGCTACGCTACGAAGCGTGTCGGAACGGCGGTGTGAGTACAAGTTCAACAAGGACAACATCACAACAGCAACAACAGCTGACATGATCAAACATTGGCCAAACGGTTGGCCCTGTCAATGCTGGTCAAACATGATCATTCCAAGAATGTAGGAGAGAAGGAGAGACAGAGGCAGGCCGACAGAGAGAGAGAGAGAGAGAGAGAGAGAGAGAGAGAGAGAGAGAGAGAGAGAGA